AAGCGATCGCCATTTGGAAGCATCCTGGTAACATCACTAACAATAAACCCCAGCACTGATAGTCCGAGGGGTCGTGATATTAAAGTTGTTCATATGAGCTAATTGCGAATTGTTAATTTTTTTAACTTTTCAGATGCTTGATGCATTAACAATGTGATGAGAAAACAGCTTATATCCTTTTGCTTTCTAATCTATAATCTTTGTTCCACAATTTCGCCCACTTATAATATTATTATTTATCTGAAATGAAACTTTAAAGTCCCCGAACTTTTGCAACAGGACAAAAAAAAATTTAGCTTTTAAGTCGCCTTAGAGTAAATGCTACGCTTTAGTGTTTTCCAGCGTCGGAAAAGAGGAATAAGACAGGGGATGAAAGTCAGCATGCCACTGACATGAATCACCAGATGATATAGCTTTGGGCGCTGCATTCTTGAAGAAGTTTGCAGTTGTATTATTGGTGCTGAAGTAAACAGCGATTGACCGGAGTTTCAAAACTTATTCGTTCTCTTTAAGAAGCGTAGGCTCTCGGAAGTAGTCCGAGACTTTATCCTGGCACTAACCTTTTGACAGCTTACCTCCTTTAAGACGAAGCAACCTTTTAATGTTGGCAGGCTTGGTATTCTACAGATGCAGATGCAGTTACCAACTCGCGGTTCCACTGGTAAAATTGCACTGCACTTTCGATCTTTGATTTGCCGGCACCGATTCTCCTAACAGCCAATGAGACTGTCGATGTCAAACAAAATCCTGTTTTTACAGTACCTTTGGTATTACAGTATCTTCAAACTCAAATTTCAAATGGTGCCCTTTCATGAATAATTAAGAAAGAGAAAAAATGCTCTTTTTTTTTAAATAACCGCTTTTGAACATCGATATTACGGTAGCGCTGGATTGGAATGAAGAGAACTTGTTAAACAATTTTGAAAAAAGCTCCGAGATTTTCCAGCTCTGCGCAAAAAATTAGTGATATACTTTCAGGAGAGCATTCACCAGGTGGCCACGTCTCCATTACCTTGATTATTTAGACAAAAACTATAATTCGTGTTGTCGTATTTACTTTGACGAGCATGGGGCA